TTCTGCAGATTGTAATGATCCATAATTTAGCTGGCCTTTGCATCAACCCCCCTGATATAAAGTAGTGCGCAGTCTTGATTTGGTGCAGGGCTTTCAGCTGTTGGTCATGAGTGAGATTGTCAGGAGGTGCTCGTGGGTGGCAGGGCCTCAGAGCAGCAATGTGCTGTTATTTTTCTCTCTGTTCACATCAACCGTCACCTCCCTCACTGCCCATCTCTGTCAGCTAGCTGAAATCTGGCGTGTGATATCGTCACCATTGCTCTCTTGTTCTGGGACCTTGGGTTATTTTTTTATTTGATTATTTATTAATTTTTTAAAATGTCTGTCAGATTTGTCTGTCAAGTCTGAATGGCTTTGTCTTTAATATATTCCAGGGATATGTGCAGGTTCCGGGGTTATTTGGAAAGATTTTGATTTTGGTCTTTCACCTTTAATTAATAAATATACTGTATATCTCATCTGGATTGATTTAAAATAAATCTTTCTCAGAAAAAGTTCCTCTTATATATTCCCTTTCAGTTCTCAGTGAAAGACAAACAAGTTCCGCTGTTTTATTAAAAAGCTAGGAAGCTGCTCAGTGAGTGACCTTAAATATGTACACTTAAAAAAAATGATGATAATACTAAATGATATCCAGTATAAGTTGAGTAAAATAGAACACATTTATGGTTTGATGTTACTGATAGGGTTTAAAATGATAACAAAAGTTTGGGAAACACTGGTATACGTCACCACGTTTTATATTATTTTGAGCTTTACTCATATTATTCCTAACAATCATTCCTAAACACTATCATTTATTTGTTGCCCATATTTCTCATGTAGAGTGGGTGTGCGTTTTCGTTTACCATGTTTAAGAAGTGCCAAGGCAGAGACAAAATGATGGCAGCACAAAAGGGTGCAGCGATGTCCGGAGGTGGCTTTCTGCCCGCCACAGAGCCTTCCAGAACCACCCCCATTTGTGTGCATTAACAGGATTATCTGAGAAAACCCACAGTGGCTCTGGCCTGCCTTTCCTCCTCTGAGCAGCAGAAAGGCCTTGCCTCGTTACATGCTTTGCTGGCTATTGAAGACTTCAGAGAAAGCCCCTCTGAGGAAAACAAATGAGATGAAAGAGTGCACACTGCCTGTTCGGCTCCGTTCAGCACCTCTTTCAGCCTTTCTTTCCGCCATCTCTCCATTTTTCGCTTTTTTCCCTCTACCCTCTTTCTCTCGGGATGGTTGTAAACAGTACATGATAGCAGTTTAGAGACCTCTGGCTTGTGGGGGGGGAGTTAAATCCATCTCCCCTGTCCATTTTTGCTGTTTGTTGTTGTGGTTCCTATGTGGATGATGGCTCTTTTCCTGACTGCTTGACCTTGCGTTTTTGGGAGCGTAGGTAAATATCTGTACCTTGCATGTAACATCCCTTTTAACGCTGGTAATTTTCAAAGTTGAAACGGCCACTCATTACCTCATGAAAATATCAATTTCATTGCCATTTGTGAGTTAATCGTGTGTTTTTTAGCTATAGGCAACCTGAACCTGCTGCTTGTTTACCTGTTTATGGTGCAAATGCCATTTGCAGCACTTTATAAAAAAAAATGTATTTACGAATTTATTCAGTGCAATTATCAAAAATGGTTCTGTAGCTTTTGACAGCTTTCCATCTGATCTAGATAAAACATTTAGACTTGGGCATATTTATGAGAGGTGTATGTTTTTTCCTCCAATATGTTTTGTAGTGATAAAGATGTTTTTTCCCTTTTTTGTTAATATGTTTAACCATTTTTATAATACTAAATATGTACATATGTAAGTATGTACATGTGTGGTACAAGTGTTGAAAAAGTTGTAAAAGCATCTGTTAATTTGCTAACAGGGACCAGACAATTGGCATCTGCTAGTTTTTAAAGATTTTTTTTTTTTTAAAGAATATAATGTATCAGTTCCTCCAAAATGCAGAGACAAAAAAAAAATCATAAATGGGTAACATTGCATTCAGTACAGTCTGTTTAATGATGAAAGGCTCTTGTTTCCAGCCTCCTTTATTATTTAATCTCATAAATGAGGTGATGGAGGAGTCAGAAACATTAAATGAGATTACAAATGCAATGGGAGGAAAATCACCGGTCATTGTCAACGTGCCATTGAAAGTCAATTATTGTTTTAAATGTTCCTTTGCTGTGACAATTGACCATATGCACGGAGCGCTATTTAGAACTTCCGGATAAAGATAAGCCAGCTCATAATCTTCCGGTGAAGCTCATTTTTATATATGTGCTATAGGTAGAGACTCTCACAGAAACCTCTCCTGCCTCATTCTTATCAGAAACTGAGAAACAAAATAATTGCAACACCATAAATAATGATAGCGGAATTAACATATTCTTTTATGTTATTAAAGAACATATAAATTTATATGCAGAGTCTGGTAATCCCAGAAAAGTAGGCTACCCAGACACGTAACTGTATCCTACATTTAAATGCTGACAAATAAACACTATCTAGCAGTTAGTCTAATCTCTTAAATGACATCGTAATGGTATTCTCGATAATCAATATCTTACTTTCATAGCCATGAATACATTTGTAAAATCTTATAAAATTTTAAAGCCTTTATTATTTCTCATCAGTAAAATTCACTTTATTAAAGGTTCACTTTTCATTCATGTTTTAGGCTTCTCCTTATTTTAATATCTTAGACATCCATCAATTAAGCTTGCCACAAAGCACAGGCAAAAGGCTTGTTAAGTAGTAATTTAAAGGTTTCTATAGATATATTTATCATGTCTGTGAGGCGTGTATTCGCTGAGTTTTGGTTCATTTTTGTGAAGCGCTCTTTTCAAGACCGAAACGGCAGTATAAAAGCACAACGTTTTGTTGATATTGTGAGTGCACACAAAACAAGTAGACACTTTGCAGTTCCGAATCATGTATTACTCTTTATGAGCAAAAATAACGCATAGGCTATTTAAAGTTGTTTCCACTGAAAAAAATGCAAGTGATCTCACTGGCGACTTCATGTCCTTCAAAGCGCGCTTCAGCTTCCACTCTCAGTACAAACTATTGGATATGCGCCTAACAGCGCACATTTATCTAGGTTTAACGTTTAAACATTGTTATTTGAACAGTTTTTTATCTATAGATTTTATTTTAGGCAAGTCGTGAGGATTTGAGAAGGCTAAACTGATCAAACATGCTATGGCTATGACCTATAACAGGCTATGATCAGCTCACTGTCTGCCGCTGGCCGCTTGGTCGTTACTTTAAAAAACAAAAACTTATTTGACGAACAAAAAATGCTCCAAATGTTTTCCTAAATTAACTTAATAAAAAAACAAAACTAAATATAGCCTAATCACTTTGCCCTTGGGCTCATTGGCTGCAGCTGCCATTTCAACTCCCTGTTTTTTTCACGTCTTGCTTTTTGATTTATAATAAAATAAATATTACAACAAATTTTTGTACTTTATCGCACAGAATATAAAGTGCAAGAAGTCACAAAGTCACTTGTCATTTTAAAATAAATAAATAAATAAGGCCAGACAACAGCCTATAATGCTGAATTATTTAAATACCTACATAGTTAAATACAAATTAAATAAGCATAAGAATTAAATAGTGCATTCAATATTTTGAAATGTTTCAATTTAATTTAACAACTACATCGTTTAAGTTTTATCCAACACAGACTTGTTGCTGCTGTAGTTTTGTTAGTCTGAATTTAGTCTCAATCGCTTAATGCACAGCTCTATTTTGACATCGGCTGGTCAGATGATTCATTCCGTTGCCACTGTCAATCATAGTAATGACTCGCGGCATGATTTAACGGATTCACTCGTGTAAATTTAACATTCGTGTTTGTCATTCCTGAAATGGTATATGTGGACATTTGGTTCTCTTAGACAAACAAAACTTTTCTCCAAATTGTGAATGGATTATGTAGAGAAACCGAGCAAAGGGCACTCCCTTAAGGCACAGTACAGTTAACCGGAAATTACTGAGTTGGCTTATCTAAAACCTGGAAGTAATCGTGCATATGGTCAATTGTCTACACACTTTACTGTTTCAGCTGTAAGGGAGTAGATGGTCTCTCTTTTTGCTTTTTCTCTATTCTACTGGTAGAATCCTTTATTTCCATTTTAAGCAATTGTTGCTTAAACTGATCTTTTTGAGCTTGCATTTGAAGAGCAGACAATTTATTAAATATAATTCAAATTTCAAAACAATATTTTTTTTCAGTGTGCAACAAATGTTCCTATTCTCCTATGGCTTTGCACTGGCTTAAAACACCTGAATTTTGTGTAATGTAACCTTTAACACTTCTTAACAATGTGCATGTTTCCTCTGTTGCCCCTTTACAGGATATATTTCTGTAGTCCTTCCAGATTTAGTTTACTGTATGCTTCCTGTTCATCTGTTTTTGTACATGGATGAAAGTGTTCAGCTTGAGGGAGCACTATTGTTTGCTTTTATAGCTCTGCTGACAACTGTTACAAGAACCGGCTGAACTGTGTACAGCCGAAAGCAGGAGTGTATCACCCCATGCAAAGACCTGAGCTAAACCCCAACACAGTCTTTCTCTGCTGGACTACCAGTGCTTTGTCTGGTCTTGTGTTGTGAAAAGATCTGCTCCACTGGGTTCTGGCCTGTAGTGCTGTTTGGGAGCATGTTTATAATAAGAGCTGTGTTTACTGTTATGTGATACTTACTTTAGCCTGCTGAGGGGCTAAAGCCGATGAGAGACTGTTAGTATGGAGGGCTACATAGGCCTGGGGTCTAGATAGGAGATGAGGGAGGTTCATAAATGATTAAGACATAATTTGTAGGCTTTTTTGTAGGTCTGAAATACACTAGGGAGCAGCTGAGAAAGGGGAATGAGTACGAACAAACACATGTAGCAGATCTAGAGATCTATTCTATTATATTCTATTATATTCTGCTCTTCCTTTAAATGAGTTGCAGTTAATCTCTTTGGTACAGTTAGAGAATGAACTCTTCTCTTTTGTGTTTTGCAGGTAAAGATGAACCCAGCATCTACACTTGCACAACCTGTAAGCAGCCGTTCAGCAGTGCCTGGTTTCTGCTGCAACATGCCCAGAACACTCATGGCTTCCGCATCTACCTTGAGAGTGAGTGCGGAAGTCCGCTCACGCCCCGTGTGGGAGCTCCTTCAGGAATGGGTGCAGATTGCTCTTCTCAGCCCCCCTTGCATGGCATCCATCTCCCAGAGGGAAGCCCATTCAACCTGCTGCGGATACCCAACTCTGGACACGACGGACCCCCTCTTCGAGAGGGTCGATTTCCCCCTACGCCGCCTCTCTTTAGCCCTCCACCCCGCCATCACTTGGACCCTCATCGCATGGAGCACCTGAGCCCGGAGGAGCTGGCTTTGGCCACCCACCACCCGAGTGCCTTCGACAGGGTGCTGCGCCTCAACCCCATACCAATGGATCCGCCAGCTATGGACTTCTCTCGTAGATTGAGGGAGCTGGCTGGTAACACCTCAGGGTCAACTCCTCCTCTCTCACCCAACAGGCCCAGTCCTATGCAACGGCTACTACAACCATTCCAATCAGGAACCAAGCCACCCTTTCTCTCCACCCCTCTTCTACCTTCCATGCAGTCCCCCTCTGGCTCTCAGTCCACCCCGACCCCTCTTACGCAACAGTCCAACACGCCCATGAAGAGCAAGTCTTGTGAGTTCTGTGGGAAGACCTTCAAGTTCCAGAGTAATTTAGTTGTGCATCGACGCAGTCACACGGGTGAGAAACCCTACAAGTGCCACCAGTGCGACCATGCCTGTACGCAGGCCAGCAAGCTGAAGCGGCACATGAAGACACACATGAACAAGTCATCGCCCATGACGGTCAAGTCCGACGATGGCTTGTCCACAGCCAGCTCCCCTGAGCCTGGAACCAGCGATTTAGTGGGTAGTGCCAGTAATGCCCTCAAGTCCGTGGTAGCCAAATTCAAAAGTAAAAACAACCGTCTGATTCCAGAGAATGGAGAGGAAGAAGAGGAAGAGGAACAGGAGGAGGAGGAGGAAGAAGAGGAGGAAGAGGAAGAGGAGGAAGGAGAGGAGGAAGAGCTGGAGAGAGAGGGAGGTAGAAACAACTACCACTTCAGCCTCAACCTCGAGGCTGCACGGCACCACGAGAACAACGGCAGACGTCTGGGTGGGGGTGAGGACGGGATCCCACGTTCACTGCCTGAGGTTATGCAGGGCATGGGCTTGGCAGCCAGCATGCAGCACTACAGTGAGGCATTTCATCAACACAAGCGAGGAGCCCTAAACTCTGACAATAATGCACATAGGGACATGTGTGATGAGGACTCGGCTCTGGAATCAGACAGAGTGGATGAGGGCTGTGGCTCAGCTATCAATGGTCGAGGCTCATCCCCCAGTGAGTCTGCCTCTGTTGGTTTGTCCAAGAAACTCCTACTGGGCAGTCCCAGCTCACGTAGTCCTTTCTCCAAACGAATCAAGCTGGAGAAGGACTTTGACCTCTCCACCTCTACAATCCCCAATACTGAGAATGTCTATTCCCAGTGGTTGGCTGGCTATGCTGCCTCTCGGCAGCTGAAGGACCCCTTTCTGAATTTCGGGGACTCCAGACAATCGCCTTTCGCCTCGTCTTCAGAGCACTCCTCAGAGAATGGAAGCCTGCGCTTCTCTACGCCACCAGGGGACCTGGATGGCGTCTCGGGCCGCAGCGGAACTGGTAGTGGCGGCAGCACGCCACACCTTGGGGGTCCTGGTCGGCCCAGCTCAAAAGATGGCCGACGCAGTGACACCTGCGAGTACTGTGGCAAAATATTCAAAAACTGCAGCAATCTGACAGTGCACCGGCGCAGCCACACGGGTGAGAGGCCTTATAAGTGTGCGCTCTGCAATTATGCCTGCGCTCAGAGCAGCAAGCTAACACGGCACATGAAAACGCACGGGCAAGTGGGCAAGGACGTTTACAAATGTGAAATCTGTCATATGCCTTTTAGTGTGTACAGCACCCTTGAGAAACACATGAAAAAATGGCACAGTGACCTTGCATTGGACAACGAAATTAAAACTGAGTAGCGGTGGAGTGTGGTAGCTCACTTGCCTGTTAACAGCGAATAACACCCCACTCCCACCCTCATCCTTGTAGATTTCCCTGTTTCGCTAGTCCAGTGGCGGCTGAGACAACGTGCTTGGCACCACCAGCACACCCTTTTCATTTACCGTTGAATGCATGATCTGTATCGGGGCAATACTATTGCATTGACGCAAACTTGGAGCCTTTCTCTTGTGCAATAATTTACATGTTGTGTACTTTTTATTTTTTCTTCACCATTTTGGAAAATTTGACAGCATGCATGATATATTTTGGCTAATTTTTAAAAATAAATTGTCCCTGGTTGGTTAGTTGTTTAGTAAATGTGTTGCTGTTTTATCGTTCATTATTTTATAAATGTTTTTTTCTTTATTTTTCTTTTTTAAGATCAAAGAAATAGAAAAGAAAAAACAACCATGCTGCATACATTCTGTAATACATATCATGTACAGTTTTGTGTTGTAACATGGAGGACTACAGGCTATCGCTTAATCCTCTTTGGACGGGCTGGATATATCGCACTTAAACTAATCTTTCAAAAAGATGTTCTGTCCATATAGGGTTAAAATACTAATTGGCCCCTATTACAGAATAAAAGTAATGACAGCTTTTGAATTTCTTAAAAAGGAAACAGCATTAAGATTTGAATTTGTACTATCATTTGGTAAAACAAACAAAAAGAGTGCCTTGGATATCTTGAAATTGCATTGGTTAATCTCATCTGCTGTTATTCTGGAGTCTCAGCTAGATACTACATAAGGATCGATTGGGTCCTCAGAAGGTTCTTGCATCAAGTACCTGACTGCTATAGTCAACATTGACTTTAGAGAGAAATAGTAATAATCAAAAAGCTAAGGAAATTTCTAGTTAATCATCATTAGGTACCTATGTAAAACACATCCCTCCATTGTGGTTTATGTCCTGGGCATGGCACATGCAGTATATGGTGTGGGATTTAGCCTTGTTTACTTGGTCTATCTGAAGGTACTGTACTTGGCGGTACCAGTTTTCAGTCCACAAGCATTTGACTTTTCTGTGTTTGTTCAAGTCTTCTTTTCAGTAGCACAACATTTTGATGTTTCTTTGATGACCATTGTTAGTGTGAACATCCATGGCGAAGGAACACCTGAGGGCATTTGGAGCAAACTAATGTAATGTACACTTAAGAATTGGTTATTAAGAAAGCATTGAAATATTTGCAGCTGTCAGTGATGATTAACCATGAATTGCCTACAGGTCTGAGTCAAAATCTTATTTCTTTATTATTGCCTATGTCTGAGCTCCCTAAAAGACTAAATGAACCTGAAAGACCAACTGAGCGAGAGAGAGACAGAGAGAGGGAAAACCATACGCGTCACTTTTTTTCCTTTGTTTTATATGAGTTTCACAAATAGTGTGGTATAAGTTGACATTCAAAGGAGACTCTTTTTCATTGTTGCATTATGACATTGATGAATTTAGACAACGTTTTTTTTGGTGTTTAGACGGCACTTGCCACTCTGCCCTTCTTTTTATATTAGACATGCTAATTGGAGGTATAGTAGTTGAACATAAATTAAGATTGCTTGCTTGTTGAACAACGAAGTGCACTGTTAAAGTTTCCCAGTTTACAGGTATTCACGAGAGGGAAAACTTCCTAATGAATCAAACATGGTGTCATTATTTAATGTAAAAAAGCCAACTCCTCTCATCTCATGAAGATAAAGCCCAACTCTGATATAATATTATTGTGTCAAAGCACACAGTGCTTGACAAAGTACGGACAATTGAAACTTGCTGCTTTCACTGCAAGAACTTTTTTTGTACAAATCTTTTTTTAAGTATGAAAATAAAATGACTTTTTAAAAAAGTAAAATTTCATTACCTTTGGGGAAACTGTATTTAAGTTTGTTGTATTTCTTTTCCTCTTTGTCTTGGTGGTGTTCAAGACTTGATCACAATATATATAAAATGGGAAAAATCTGTGATTTTTTTCTGCTTTTTCTTTCTTCTTTTTTCATCTTGGCTCTTCACAGCTCTTCAGGTCAAACTTGCATTGGGGAAAGGTTTAAGATTATATATAAAATATATAATAGAGAAACTTAAATATAGGAAAATGCACATCATGTCAGTTCCTATGCTAAAACACATTTATGGTCTACTTTCTTCTGTATTTCTAGAATGGTATTTGAATTAAATGTTCACCTAGTGTAGGTACTACAGTATTTATATTGAGGCTTGTATTTTTAACTGTTGCTTGTTCTCTCAAAAGGTATTATTGTACCTTTTTTGGTAGTGAAAAAAAACAACAAGCTGCCACGGTATATTTTTTTAATTTGGCAGGATAATATAGTGCAAATTATTTGTATGTTTAAAAAAAGAAAATGGAAAAAAAAAATTTAATAAAAAAATTAAAGTATGTGGCATTGTACAATGGAGGCCATTCAATGGTTTCCCCGAGGAGTCTTTTGAGAATGTCCACACTAGCTAAAACAGGTGGTTGTACATATCTTTTTTCTGTTCTTCTTTTTAAAAATCTCCTCTGCTGCCATTCTGTATGCAGTACAGCAAGCTAATGTTGGGTTGTTCTGTAGTGTGCTTCTGTCTTTTCACCTGTCTCACCTGAATACATTCCAAGCATCTTGAAAAAAAGCGTCATATGCAGTAAATTACCAGTAAATAAACAAACAAACAAAAAAATCATTCAAATAAATGAATTCAAATAATCAATGTTTTGCAGGTGTTTTTTTTTTCATTGCCAAATATTAAATGGTGCTTTATATTTAGATTGGGACGACTTTCATATGCAAAGCATATTTAAAAATGAAATGGAACTAAAGGAGCAGCCCACTGAAGTTCATACTCTTTTGTAAAAGGCAATGCGGAATATTTTGTTATCAGCCTTTTCTATTCCTGTTATGAGAGCTGTTTGTTGTAACTTGAACTTGAACTTTATCTTTTTCAATGGGAGTCACTATTTATTATTGCTTAAATACTCTGTTCAAAACGGAGACATAGAATGGATCCTTTATTGTTCGTTTGTTTTCATTTTTTTTTTTTAAGAAAAGAATGACCAAAGGTCATTGACAGACTTGCTTTTTTGTTGTTTTTGTTTCTGGTCTATGTTGAGTTTTATTGGAGAAACCACTGTCTCTGTTTTCTGGCAGTTGTCTACATTATCCTGTTCACCAACCAATTTTGTCCCTTTATTGAAAACAATTAATAAAAAAAAAGAAATAATGTATATACCTGTGTCTGGTGGCAAAGATTTCTCTCTGCATTTTTGTCTTTTATTTATTTATTTTTTGTCGAGGACACTTGACACACACATTTAAACAGCTCAGAGTATCATACTAAAGCCATGATGGTGTTTAACTCTCATTTGCTTGAACTCCGCTGGGTGTATGCATGTCAAATAATTAGGACGGTCGTCCTGAGCAGCTCTGGACTCATGGCACCTTTCCCCTCCCCCTGTTCCTTTGCCCGCTACTGTGTGTTCGTGTGGTTCAACAATGGTGTGTTTAGCCCATGGTTGTAGGAGGGCCTTCAGGCTGCTCTAAAAATCTCTGTGGTCATGTGACCAAGTGACTTTGAAAAGTGTTACTTTACCTGTTCTATAGGTCAGAAAAACAGCTTAGCAGCTTTACCACAAATGTAGATGGAGCATCACTCCTGAAACTGCCTTTATTTTGTATATCTCTTTTATATGTGACAAAAACGTTGCCTACATTCACCAGTTCAGCATTAGCAAAATGAACAGAAATTTTTGTAGCAGAATAAAACCTTGACCACAAACTGAGTGTTGTTTATAATGATGCACACTCAAATTTTCTTCTTTGTCTGTTTCTTTAAGATTCCTCTTCAAACACAAGAAAGAAATAGCCACTTGTGTTTAGAGAGGTCTATTGTGTTTTGGCAGGTGGGAAAGACGCAAAACTTCAACCCCTCCCTACCCAATCATTCCCATTTTATTCATCTGGCTCTTGAAGACAACATGTCACTCTACTCAAACAATGCTACACTACAGGCAAATAAAACAAATCACTGACATTTCTCTCCATGCCTGAAAAACGAGTGCTTTCATAAACCCATGCACTGAAATCCCCTCATTTTTTTTTCAGACTTTAATACTGTATTTATGATAATTCTGTCATCATTTAGTCTTTCAAATCCTGTATGACTTTCTTTCTTATGTGGAACAGAAAAGGAGATGTTAGTCAGAATGCCCAAGCTGCTCTTTTCCATACAATGGAAGTGAATGGTGACCATGGCTGTATTTTCAAGGTAAGATTTTCATTGAATAAAACAAATTTCAATCAGGTTTTTTTATTATTATTATTTTTTTTACACAAGTTACACAAGTACATAATTTCTGAACATTTTTCATTTAGTGTAAAAGTTGTATGGACTACTTTCATGATGCCCCTTTTTTCTTTTTTGAAGTGCTCCTTGCACTTTTCATTGTATGGAAGCAAGTAGCTTGGACATTCAACTAAACCTTTCCTTTTGTGCTTCATGAAATAGAGTAAGTCATAGAGGTTTGTTTCAACATGAGGGTGAGTACATTTTCAAGAAATTTCATTTTTGGATCAACTATTCCTGTCATGGCCTGTCAAAAATCAAACTAGCAACTAATACATCAATATGTAAACAGATAACAAAACACAACAAGATCAGCATCTTTCAGGAAAAATATTGTGTTCTCACTGTTATAAAAATCTAATCCCCAAATATTCTTCTTTTTCCCTTTCCCCAGTGTTTTGTAGTTCAGTATTCTCCAGCGACTTGGAAAATGTGAGTCTGCATGGTTTGTTTTAGTTTTGTGTCTGTGTGGACTTGGCCGTGCAAATTGGTCTCCTGATCAAAAGTTCTTTGTGTTTATGGCCCACTGGCAGATATTCTGCTCTGGACTGTTCAGCATGGGGTTGCCAAGCGGACTGTACCGCTGTCTAAACAGAGGTTGACTCAGTTGTTTAAACGTTACACGTTGTCAACTTTATAGTTGGTTTGAGAGTTTGCGGTACTGCTAGACACGAATGCCTTTCTTGTGTGTTGAACTAGCTTACTCCAGCTTGGCTTTGCTCTATTAATTATATGGTGTGAGGTGAGTGGGCACAAAGTGCACCTTAATGGACAATGACCACCTCACACCCACTCTCACAAGTATGTGGCAGTTAACCAAGCTTAGATTTACTGTACATCATCTGAACGTAAACTATACTCTCACTCTCTTACAGAACAGCCTCACATGGCAATTTACACACAGATACAACCTCCACACCAATTTGATCTCAAGGGGACACGAAAGATTAGAGATGATTCTTTACCCTTGGTCAAATGGGTTTGGTTAAGAGGTTATGAGGACTAGATTAGCGCTCAGACGTCACACCAAGCTTAACCTTTGACCCTGACAGGCCTGCCCAAAAGTTTGTGGGGTCAATTGGTCAAGTGTCATTTTATCCTCATTCCTCACTCTCTCTCTCTCTCGCACTCTGTGTCTCACTTTCTTTAACGGCAGGCTGTCAGGCTCCTGGAGT